TTCTCCTTGAGTGAGGTTTGCAACTTCTGCTCCCTGAGCCTGTACTCCGTCTGCGGACTTCTTTGTACTTGCCCAAGCATCACAACTTTGCCCTCCTTGGTGAAATTAAGCTCCTGAAGCCAACTATCAGACTAAGCCTACAGCCTGTCCAAATTCATTTGTAGCCTTTCCTGATCCTCTTGCGCTTGTATACTACTAATTAGTTTCACGTCGTCTGAAAACATGGATACCTCAGACTTCATCCTTTCTGCCATGTCATTAACTTATTCAAGAAACTGCGCTGGCTCTATGACTGATCCTTGTGGAACCCATTTTATCACATGCACCCGTTTCGACACCTCATCACGAATCATCACTCGTTGTTTCCTTCCTGTTAGGTATCTCTTGAACCATTGCAGGGCTTTTCCTGTTATTCCTGCCTGCTCCTCTAGTTTGTGCATCAGTCTTTTGTGCATTACTGTGTCAAAAGCTTTCTTACATCCCCCTCTCTCCTGTTATATTTCTTTTGCCTTGACATAGATTTCCTGTAGCTTTGTAACACGGAATTTTCTATTCCTGAAGCCGTGCTGGTTGTCATGTATGAGCTCACGCCTTCCTAGGTTCTCCATCACTCTTCTCTTGATATTTTTTTCCATAACTTTACATACTATACATATCAGTGTCACTGGTCTGTATTTTAACGCTACCTGTTTGTGTCATTTCTTAAAAACTGGGATTACATTTTCTGTCTTTCTCATCTCCAGCAGTTGCCCTTTTGTCAATAGACTTACTGTAGAGTGGTGCTAGTGGCACACACAGTGGTACCTCTTTCAGAACCCACGGAGAGATATTGCAATGTCCCACCGTTGTGTGTGTGTGGTGTGTGTGTGTGTGTGTGGAAACTATTCTCAGTGATTCTCGCTCTTCCTTGCGTAATTTGCTGTATCAGTAAAACGAACGTTTAAATTAGCACCACTCCTGTGTTTAAGTAACTATCGCCAAAGCCACACTTGAACTATCACAACCACTTCTCTTCTATCAAGAAAACAACGCTTGTTCTACTGCCACCACAGCAACTTTTATGCTATTATCATTACAGCCTTTGCAACATTAACACCACAGCAACTTTAGGACCACTAACACCACAGCAACTTTAGGACCATTAACACCACAGCAACTTTAGGACCATTAACACCACAACAACTTTAGGACCACTAACACCACAACAACTTTAGGACCACTAACACCACAAGTTTAGGACCACTAACACCACAACAACTTTAGGACCACTAACACCACAAGTTTAGGACCACTAACACCACAACTTTAGGACCACTAACACCACAACAACTTTAGGACCACTAACACCACAATTTTAGGACCACTAACACCGCAACAACTAAATGTGGTGAGCTATTCAAACAAATATTAAAAGAATCCGCACACCCACGCAAATCACAGCTTACTTACACACCTGTGTAAGTAGGCTGTGATTTGCATGGGTCAGGTGTGAGTTGTGTAAAATAGGTGTGATTTACATGAATCAGATGTGACCTGTGTGGGTCAGGAGAGAGTTGTGTGGGTCTGCTGTGACCTGTATGGCTCAGGTGTGAAGTGTGCGAGTCAGGTATCACAAGATCCTTAAGTGCTGGGCGAGACTGCCAACACGACCACCATCCATCAATTCTGATTTGTCCTCTTTGATATTCGTCAAAATTACTACGCTCCGTCAAGTGGAATTGTTCGGGAATAATACATAATGCAAAGGCAATTTTTTTTTTTTTAGAACTGGCCGAGGATATGCGCAAATATTGCTAGACGATTTATCCTTGAACAAAGTATAACCTTAGATGACTTACTTCAAATCTCAACTGATGAAAATCACGAATAAAAACTATAATTCTTGAATCGTTATGATACATTTGACTGTTACACTAAGTGGAATAAAGATTTAATAAGGGCCATTGATTCCCAACTAGAGCGAAGTATATAAAAGTATATAAACTAGCAAGAAATATTGAGCAAATCCAAGCACTTCAGATTTGTAAATAGTAACATTCTCATCTTCTCTAAATTCTGTATGCTAAACAAAGTTTAAATGGCGCTGAAAAGAATAAAAGTTATATCCTTTTATTATTTCTTTATTGACGGCATATTTTCGCAGACTAAATGGTATCGTGACTAAAATTTACATTGAGTACAACATCCTTTGCACTTTCTTTCACTAGAATAAATGCTGAGTTTATTGCTTCTGTGAAGAACCTTACCGTGATACGACTTACTCTTTTCAACGAATTTTAAAATGCTATATGTACATTCTTAGTCAGTAAACTGACTCCTGACAGGGATCTAGGGGACTTGAGCTAGAGTTCGTCACGGCCATGCTAGCGGGAGATTCGTCTGTAAAAACTTGCATTTGTGCTCACAGTAGTGCCTATGCTAACCTTCCTATGGTGTAGAAATATATCTAGTTGGATGAATCATACTATAGATAGCTGCCCCAGTGGCTAACGCGACGGTCTGGAGTTTTATGACTCTCTGATCGCGGATTCTAACCCCACTCGTGGTATGGTTTAACTAGTCATATGTTGACCAATTGAACTTTAAAGGAAAATGCCTTTTCTTACACTATTGAGAACCTTAACATCGAACCATTGCTTTATTTTTTTACTTAGATACTGAGGTTTAAAATCACTTAATAAAGATCATTCTCGATCGTCATAGTCAGGGAATGGCTTCGCATATTTATTTAGGAATTTTGTGAAAAGTCTAGAAAGAAAGTTTTAAATTTTATAAAAGTAACTTTGATTTTTCAGTCTGATGCCGTTCTTCTGGTTTCAACTTCAGCTGCGTTCATTGGAGTCGAATATTAAAATTTGACAAATGATTCATTGTAAATGTTTTCGTCTGTGTCAACACAACCGGTAAGACAGGTCTCATAACAATAACGAAGATTCATACCTGGTCAGGTATAAGCCTTGCTAATACTAAGTTTCAAAACACCTGCTCACCTATAAGCCTTGCCAATGCATTAAAACAACTGGTCAGGTATAAGCCTACTTAATACAAAATTTAAAAAAAAAACAGGTCAGCTAAAAGCCTTGCCAATACAGTTTTTCTGCTGTAGATTCGCCTGTATAATCTCCGGGCCCTGGCCTTTTCCAAGAGATGTCCCAGCCTTGACTCCCTGTCGAGGGAGTGTCTCAGACCAATGTCTGTCATGGGAGGGGTAGGCCTGGGACCAGCTATCCCCAGGCCTACCCCATTCCCCGCCCCCACGAGGCTCGGAGAGAGAAGTTAGGCACCTTGGGCTGCCACAAACCCCGCCCACACTGGGCTCGAAGGATGTGGCAGCTGCATAGCAGCAGATGATATCAGGAGGTGCAAAAGCAACAAGCATTACACGATCCTTTTGGAGTCACACTCCAGCTTTGGGCATTAAGCCCGAGCGCTACGGAAGCTCAAGAATGCCTCGTGTTATGTATGTTGCTGCTGTTGCTACTACACTTGTCCTTTGCACTCTTTGCCAATACAAAGTGTAAAGAGGAGAGATGTAAGCTTTGGTCAATACAATGTTTTAAAACAACTCAGTCTCATGAGAACAGATTAAGTATAAGCTTTAAGAAAATAGAAATTTTAATGATTACAGTACTCAAAGTTTACAGGTTTCATATTCTCTTCTAGACCTGACTCCTCATTATTTAGAGCCAAACTTACCTGGATTTTGCTTTGCCATCGATGCATCTCTGTAAAAGAAACTTTGACCTAGACTTCCAAAGTTTTAGAGACTTTATCAAGTTGTCCTTCAGTAGATATTGATATTACTGCTTAGGTACGGTCAATACAGTCTTCGAATTGCAGCTTTTTAAAAGCTGAAGTTTACCACAGTGGTCATATTTACTTGCTTCTTGCTTACTTTAGACGCTGGAGTGCTTGTACATAGTCTTTCCTCTTCGTATAACGTTAAGTCTTAGAAAACAATGGTCTTCATCATAATCATAATTGTTAAAATAATTACTTATTCATTATTATATTTATTATTATTATTATTATTATTATTATTATTATTATTATTATTATTAATGTTTATATTATCATTATTATTTGCATTATTATAATTATTATAATTATTACTCTTATTATTATTATATTATTTATTATTATTATTATTTAATAAATTCCTATTAAAGCAGTTAACTTAATAAAAATAATATATTAGTACCTCTTTAACACAGATAATCTTTAAGCAGCATTAACCTCTGTGACTTAGAAAAGCGAATTTTTATTTCAACTCAAAATTATCATAAAACTAATATGACACCTACCAGGGCTATTTAAATTAAAAACTTAAACATTTTAGTTACTAAACTGGTCATGGACCAGGCAGTGAGGGGGCGTTGACCCCTGAAACAACCTCCAAGCCTCCAGGTAGACTGATTGGAAGGAAGACTTCCCACTGAAGAAACTCTTAAACGACGTTTCGGTCCGTCCTGCAATTTTTCCAGATGTGATTTGATAAAGTTCCCAGGAGGGACTGAAACGTCGTTTATAGTTTCCTGTCGAAAGTTGGATCATTCGTGAATTTTTCCAACCACAGTTTTGTGATTTATTCTCTTACACAAGACGGATAAGTGGCCCTAACTTTAAACTACGGGGGAAAAAAGGGAGTAGAGGACATACTGAGAAGTGTTTTTTTTTTTCACAAATGGAAAGGTAAGTTGCAGGAATGAAATCCGAAAAGCAGTAATAGTGTATGTCATATCCGTGATGGATGTTATAGATTTATAATTCAAATTTATTCCAGAAAAACGGAACACCAACAGAAAAATCTAATATTTTTTTTTTATTTACAAATAGTTTTTCATATGATACATCTAATGAACAGCAACAAGTGTATATCCTTCAGTGTACATACACTTAGAATTTGCTTTAATTTCCCCTTTTTGCGGTGAATTTAAGAACTGATGTATGTATTATTATGCTTCCCGGAAACGTTACTAACATTACGTTCTTTCTTTCAGAGAGCGGATGAGTCG